ATATATATATATATATATATATATATATATATATATTGAGCCATTAAGATGTAACGATCCAATAAGAATTATGAAGTTACATTACATACCACAAAATTCCATAATCTTTTCAAGAGAATCTAACTCGACTCTTCAATACCAAGAATTGATGTTATATTAATAATTCTAGGGCATATATACACTATTAATTATGCATATGCTTCTTTTTCTTTGAACAAATTATATGGAAGCTGAACCTCTTTCAATATTCCTTGATATGATTGCCCATCTCTCTCCTTTTCTTTTCTGTCACATGGCATGCTAAAGGACTCTCCTGAACCCATCAACGCAACTTGCCATCCACCTCCAAAGTGGATGCATGTCAGGCACCGTGAGTATTCATTTTACACTCATTCTATATATGTATATGCGTGCTCTATGGAGATGTAAGAGATGGCAAACTTACTAACTCACCACTGCAAGTTAAAATACAAAAAAAAAACACATTCCATGTCGCTTTGCATCCCGGCCGATATCGAAAACATCAGCCAAGACGCACCACCACTCATTTCAGTGCTGTTTTAATTTGTTATAGATGGATTTTTATTAAACATTTGTTTCTAACACAAACATCATTTTTTATACGTACATTGATATTTTTTTCATCTCTTAAAACGAGAATGGTGAAGTTTGGTGTGAGAAAAGAACAATAAAAATGTAGTTTCTTTTGAAATATTTTTATCTTGTTCTCTAAATATTCAAGATTATAAAATTATAATTTTTTTTATACATATATATTAAAGAATCATTTCAATCCAATAGTTTAAGCTATTAGGTAAGGTTTCAAGATATAATTTATATTAATCTCTAACACACCTCCTCAAATGAAAGTCATTTAGGTTTGAAATTTGTATATACTCACATTACATTGTGCTTAATTTTTATTAAATAAATAAGAATGATGAAATTCAAATTCATTACCGCTTGATCATCAAGGCTCTAATATCATATTAAAGAACTATCTTAACCTAATAACTTAAACTGTTATGTGAGATTTCAAGATATAATTTATATTATTTTCTAATAATATATTACTAGATTAATTTGGAAACATTTCAATATCTAGAGCCCACAATCTTAAAGCATAAACCACTAGTAAAAATATAAGATGCAAAGTATACACTACAACATTTAATAGTTTTACCGACGAAATTTTTTCATCGACGTAAGACCCATATTCCATCTGTAATTGATTTACTAACAAAATTATCGATGAAAATGCTTTGTTGGTGAATCTTTCATCGGTAATTTTTTATCCGTCAGTAAATTCATTGGTAATAAAAAAATATTAATAGATTCATAAAAAAAATACCCGCTTCATTCCATCGGTATATCCCTCGAAAAATACCATCGGTAATTATTAAAAAAAATTAAAAAAAAATGCATTTTATAAAATTATAAAATAATTAAATCAACATTCTATAATATATACTCAAAATGCTTGGAAAATAAATAAGAAAATCAACTCAAAAAAATTTGCAACAAATAAATAAAATGAAAAAATAAATTCAACTAAAAAAATTCATATAAAAAAATGAAGTTGCAATTGCTAAAAATTTAAAAATCCTATAAATAAATCAACTAAAAATTGATCTCATATGAAAAAAAAATCTCACAACAACATTTATACAATCGTTAAGAAAAAAAACAATAAAAAACAAATATAGTGAAAAAAATCATGAAAAAAAAAATCTTACCTTAATGTAGTTGTAAGTAAAGCTAAGAAGAAAATTTTTTTTTTTGTAAAGTATATCAATTAAAAAAAATTAAGAGGATAAAAGAAGAAAGAATAAGAAGACATACTCGAGCATAGATGAGAAGAGAAAGAGAAGAGAAGAGAAAGAAATAGATATTAATTTTTTTTACATATAGTGAAAAAGAAAAAGAAGAAGAAAAAATGAGTTTGTCTCTTGTAAAATAAGGGGATTCAAGCTTTTTATTGAGGCACATTAGCGACTGTTTTATCGATGGATAATTAAATATTAGTATTTTTAATTATTTTGTTGGTAATATTTAATTTAAATTTTTAATTTCATAAAAAGTTTTCAGAATCACCGATGATTTTTCAATCCGTCGGTGATTTTGTATGTGATATTTAAATGATGATTTTAAATTAATTGAATTTTTTTTAGAAAATCATCAAATAACACCGATAACTTTTTAATCCATCAGTAATTTTATCCGTAAAGAACAATAATTAACAGTGCAATTGAAAAGTAAATAATTCTTGAGCTCTCTAGAAAATACTGACAGAATTTTCTGTTGATAATTCTCTTTATAATTGACATGATGATCGGTGTTCATAGTTTACCAACAAATTTATCGTTGAAATTTATTCCATTGGTAAATTATTATTTTTTGTTTTTTTTAATTTTTTTTTCATTATAATTCTCTTGATATGTTTATTTGTATTATTAATTTTTTGATAATAATAACTACGTGAGGGTAATTTAAACTCTAATTTATCTCATATATACACGCGCGAGCATCTCTTTAGATAAACTACTTCAAGTGAGGCGACATGCTGTTCGAACAAAAGATGCTTGGGATATTTGTTTCTTTTTTTCTGTTACCATGACATAATATGAGGGGAGAATATGCGCTTGAACACAAAAAAATCTGTAAGATTCTCAAAGCACATGATGTTTGAGACGTAAACTATACGCTTATAAATTGACCGTTCTAGCCTTACTTGCTCGTCTGAGTTCGGGGCGAAGTTGCTGTAAATACGGGGAAGGCCATGAAACCAGTGTGTAAATTGATGATACAAACAGCAATCCATGCATGTTAGGATCTGAGCAAAGCTAAAAAAAGAGCACATGGATGATCATGTGCGTGCTGAGGTGAGGTCCCTGTTGCTATCTTTACTGGGACCTAGCTAGTCTTGTTGAAAGCTACCGGGCGTTCGTACTATATCCGTACACCTCAACTTGCAATCTGTTTACCGTTGGAGCATCCAAACTACCAGAATGCCACTATAAAACATTTCATAGGAGGAAGAGAGAAAAAACTAGAATTGAAAAAACTAATGATATACGCGTAAAGATTGATTTAAATCATCAAGAGGCCACTCTTAGCTCCTCCTCTTCTTTTTTTAACACAACTTTTTATCTTTTGATTCTCCTACGCGTGTATTGCAAAGTGACCATCATCCCTACGTGCATGACTTGGTAACTTCATTTAATTTATTGCCATGGTGCTCCAGTCTTTCGAAGCATGAATTTCTCCTTCCCCGCCGAAGATGGTCCAAAAATATTCCTTTGATTTAGTATTTTTTTATTACAAATAATACTTTGTTTGTTGTTGTTGATATCAAATAAAGAGCTATTTATATTCATGTCCCGTGACAAATCTCAAAAAAAAATTATAAAAACTACTTTTTTCTTTTTAAATTATTAATTATAAAAATCTATTAATTTTAGAGGTTGTGAATGAGAAAATATATTGTACTTGAACAATAATATTTAAAAAATAAATAGTTTATGATATAAAGTGATAAGCTATAAGTGAAACTTAAATTTTTAGATACTATAAATCTAAAAAAAATTTAAAAGTAGAGTAATGGTAGGTTTCTACTCGAAGGACACATACATCCTGATCAAAATTTATGTTGTAACCAGCTGGTTATGCTTTATAGAAGGTGATGGTTATGCTTTTAAGGTTATGGGAGGTGATAAATCTTAAATGCTGAACTTCTCATCTTAAGAGTAGTTTTAGACATAGTGGGCATAGATGTCCGTAATACAAGAGAATCAATCATCCACGGTGGTGAAGAAAGAGACTAATAAATCCCATTAACTACCATTAGCATATTTTACAAAATCCAAGGAGTTCAATGACTTAACGTTGTAATTAATCACTGATGAAAGTTAATTAAATACGAGGTAGGACTTATAATGACATTAAGAAACCAATAGAGGGACAGGCACAAGGCTTCAAGTAGCCACCCAAAATGGCTCCCAATTAAGCAAGCTTTTGCTGCTGCTCCCACCTTCCTTGCACCTTCTTGGTCTAGCCAAGTTCCCCATCCCCATTTCACCACCAGTATTTACACTACTTCCCTCCAACTCCTCTCCCCAAATACCAACACCACCCTCAGCTTCATTATCTCCACTTTGATCATCATCACCGTCTTCTTCAACTACAATTTCCTCACCAGACTCTGCTTCTTCCTCTTCATTGTCAAAGTTATTAGAAGAGCAGTGATTCATCAAATGTAGCCGGAGCCGGCCATCGGTTCTCTCTGCATGTAAATAAACCTGGCAAGAAGAGATGGTCACTGCTTCCAGGACTAGCCTTCCACCTTCTCGGTGGGGCCTCACTCGGACATTGTTGGAGCCACTAATCGAGCTCAAAGGAGGTGGGAAGCTAACACTTCGACTCGTTCTTCTTCCTTCGCGCGATTTTGGTGCTTCTCTGGTCTCATAATTCACATTTTCTAATGGAAGGACAGCCACGTCGTCGCTGTTTTCTCTCATCTCGCTGCCAGTTTCGCTCCCCAAGCTTTCGGTACACATTTCCAGGCTCTTTTCGCTGAGCATAGAAGAAGAGCGCTTAAAATTCGGAGGGACGTAGACTTTGTCGTTCTCTTTGGTGGTCTGAGAGGTACTGTTAGCAATAGACTGGAGGAAACTCCAGCCGCCCATGTCAGCAATTTTGTCTGAGTCAGTGACGAAAGGCTTGCCACTTGTTGAGGAGCGAGAATCATTGGATTTGGATGGAGCCAATTTGATCCTCAAAACACGTGGTTCTACAAGGGAGACCGGCTCTAGGCATGATTGGAGACCTGGACAGGAGCTTGAGGAGGACATTTTTCACAATAGAAATGTGGAAAGTAAAAAACAGAGGAAATGAATGATCTGAAACAGGGGAGGCTTTTGTTTTCTTATTGAAATTGTAGGATTTGGGAGGTTTATGGGATAAAAGGAGTGAATTTGAGATCGAAGAGGTGTTTTCAAACAGAACCCGCGTTTCGGTTTTGGTGAGATTGGAGGTGATCTATGGGGCTCGTGGGGAGATTACAAGAGAGAAAGAAATTAGGAGTGAAGATGAAAGGGAAATGAAAGGAGGAGGGCATGGATTTATAGAAGGATAGAAAGCGGCAAGGGCGGCACCACTAGTTAAAAGTTGTTGGAAAGAATTGAGGTCATGACGATAGTTTAAACTTTTTTTACAATATAAATAATCCTCTCTCCTCTTTTTTTTTTTCTTTTTTCTTTTTTATGGACTAGCAATGAGAATTATCATGTGAGTCAGACTTATTATATTATTCATTATAAATTCATTATAATCTATGTGAATAGATCAACGAATAAATTGAGAATCATATTGAGTCAGCTAAGTTGCTATTTTAGGTCTATCCAACCTACTTGCTAAGGATATGATTTGTAAGGGGGGAAAAAAAGAATTTATTTGTAAATAAAAAAACAATGGCGGTAGTGTGTTTTCATGAATGCTATTTTGAATTCCATCATTAACTCTAATTCTTCCGGTGTGTTTAAAAATATAATTATAGTTATTTTTAAAACTATTTTTTTATTTTTAAAAATATTAAAATAATATTTTTTTATTTTTAAAAAATTATTTTTGATATTAGTGCATATTTGAAAATATTAAAAAAATATTAATCTAAAATAAAAAATTATTTTTTAAAATACAAAAACATACTTACTTTTATCCCCTTTGATTATTCTCCAATCTTATACACGTTGAAAAAAGAAACTTAACCTTAAAAATGGAAGAGGTAGTTTGGTGATGGATCTAGGCATTGATGGCTACATAATTCTAGCGGCGTAGGTCTAGCCCAGAGACCCAGAGAAATTCTAGTCATTAATAGCTAGACTTGCCTACGCAGATTCTCCCTCCCCCTTCCATATCTTTTTTCCATTTCTTCTCGCCTCACGGGCTCTGTAAACCATATTTGAACACACAGCTGAATATATTTTAGAGTTTTGAAATGTCAGGATGCAGTGCCGTGCACCGCTTCCATACACAAAGTTTCCTGTCATTCACAGGCAAACTCCTCGCAAGTCCACACTTTTATACAGGACAGGGTTAGTATCACACTTCTGTCCAGTAGCACAACGTCAATACCATCGTTCTTTCAGCACCGTATTTCATGGGAAACAGGCGTCTCCTTCCTCGCAAAGGTTATGTCTTGCCAGCAGACATTAATAATCACCAAAATCCTCATCAGTAACAGAGCGCAGATACTACGATCAACGGAGTAAACCAACCTTTTCACCGATTAATTATCGTACACCTCTCTTATGTTCTGAAATAAATTGATGTCTATAAATATTTTATATGATCAAGTAAACCAGAAAAAATCTCAAACTCTTACATATATTTTCTCTCGTAAGTTGAATGACTTGGGCACAGAAAAGTTTTTTATTCCATGAGAGGCTTGTTTTTTCAGATAAACTTGTAACCACCGGTCAAGCTCAACGATTAGGTTCGGATACGAATTCCATGTCCTAAACTTATGTTCAGTAGCCCAATTTAAGTTATTTCATGGGTCTGTTCGTCAGTAAAAAAAGCATAAAAAACTTTCGAGAGCGGTGAAAACATATAGAAGTATGAAACTGTCTGCTGGGGGTAAGAAATTCGAATTCATTAATAAATTTGTAGTTCTTTTTTTTTAATATTCTTGTAAATAAAAGGGTAAATCCCCCCGGGGGGGGGGGGTAATTGAAGTATTCCCTATTTGGTATTCCTCTAGAAAAAATTAAAGAAAGAACAGAACAGGCGTCCAAAGTATACATGTATCTTAAAAACTATTTGACTACAAAAAGAAGAAGGAATCAGTGGGATTATAAATGCTAACTGCTCAAAGAAAATCCTGGATTAGAGGGGAAACATCAGGCTTTTCTGACATGAGAAAACAATAGAATAGAGCGACCGAAACAAAAAAGCAAGATTCTCTTTGATATGGGATTCCTTTATTCTACCAGTTCTTATTTTATATGGTGAGTTAATATTTTTGGGTCGAAACGTAGTGTGAGGACGTGGGGTACCCGTACAATTATTATTAAGCAAAATACTGGATCCCTAGGTATTTCACCGTCGACAATAAAATGTACTCAGGGTTACAGTTAAATTAATTTTTTACTCTTCATCTTTTAATTTTTAAAATTTTACTTGAATGGCAGATTGATGATATTTATAAACTGTCAAATTATCTTTCTTGTTTAGTTTTGGTACAACACCATCTTTTTTTAATAAATATACAACTATTATTGCCCGAATAAACAATAAGAACTATTAGTATAAAAGTTCTAAATAATTAAATTATACAAATACTCATATCATGCAAATGCATTAGCTTTAGCTTTAAGAGCTTAATTGTTATTTTTTAATGGTTTTTAGCTATTGTTACTTAGATTTAATAGTTAAATTATTACATTACCCTTACCATTCAATTTTTTTAGTTTTGGCTTTAAAGGCTTGGTTGTAATTTTATAAGGGATTTTTTGTTATTATTATTTAGTTATAGGAGAATTTTTGATTTTGTGCAAATAAAAAATAATTATTGATATATTTCTGGTACACATTCATATGTCAGTCACTCCGTCGCCTTCAAGTAATTCATGTAACTAACAGTGATGATTGAAATTAAATATTTAATATATCATTAGATGCATCTCTGTATCTTCTTCTTTTCTAAACAACGTTTTTATAATAAATGTTTAATTTGACACTAATTAGTTTTTCTTTTTCACTTTTTTTGGTTTATTTCTTTCTCATATTACTTTCTGGTCATGTAAAATTATATAGCCCTTTAATTTTATTTTTCTTTTGATTCAATATTTCTTCTTTTAATTATAATTATTTTATTTATAATTATTTTGTTTACATTGATTATTTCTAATTGGATTTTATTTTTGATTAATCCCTAGTTGTTTGATTTTATTAGTTTTTTCATCAAATTTAATCCTCGTTCTTTTAAATGCTATTTTCTTTGTTTTCAATCATTTTTTTGATTTATTTGTTTTTCCTTCAATTTCATCCTTGAGTATTTCTTTTCATTGAATTTTTATGTAAAGTTTAGTGTCAATTCTTTTAATTGTTATTTTTAAAATTATTTTCTTAATTGATTTTTTTTTCAATTCATCCTTGAACATTTAATTTCATTTAAATTTTTCCTTAACATTTAATTCTAGTTGGTTTTTATGTTGAATTTATTGTTAATTATTTTATTTGCTATTTGTTTTGTCTTGCATTATTTTTTTATTGATTTTTTTCTTCAATTTCATCTCTTAATATTTGTTTGGTTAAGAATTTTGCTTCTTTTTTTTTTCACGTGTGCCTTTAATGAGGTCATTATAATCTCATGACTTGAGCTATAGATATGAAAGATTAGCCTGAGTTGATATTAATCTTTTTTAAAATATTTTTTTTCAAAAAAAAATTACTAGTATTTTTTTTCACTTTGCTATTCATAGGGTCATTTCAATTTCATGTGCTAGGTCATATGTTTGATTTGTTCACCTGACTTGGCTTTCGAGTTCACTCGAGACTTTTTTATATGTTTTTATCATATCGACATGTATCCATTCTTTACATTTTTATGACGTGTTTGGCCTTTCATAATATTTTGTATGGTGTGGGTTTGTTTAGTCAATTTTTTTTTTGTATTTATCATTTAAACCGTGAGTTTTTTTATGGTGGATTCATTATTTATTTATTTAAATAAAAAATAGTAAATATAATCAAGTAAATATCTTAACTTTATAATTTTTTCTTCGTTATTGTTAACGACCTTTTTATTTGTATAAATGATTATCGATTTATTTAGTTAGATAATTGCATAGGCTTTTCAAATGGCACTTTTAATTTTTCATATAAAAAACACATTAGAGTAATATGCATACCTGGTATTTTGTTTTTAAAAAATTATAATTTGGATGCCAAATTCATGATTTTAATGTTTTTTTAGTTTTTTAGTTTTTTATATACCTTATTTTAGAAAAAAAATATTATTTTTTATTCTATACATTTGACCTATTTATATCATTTTATTGTTCATTTTTTATTTTTTTGTAATTTTTTTAATGTTTTTTTCTTTACACCTTTTGCTTTTGAAAATTTATTTTGCATAGACTAGGAAAATGGTGTTTCACTATAGCAATTACAATATTGTTTTATTTTTCGGCGACGTCAAAAATTAGCATGAGATCTTATATATTTTTATTAATACATATGATCTTTATTATATGTAAGCATTGACTTTGACTCATGGTTATATTTTTTAATTTATGTAAAAAAATACATTAATAACACTGACACATTAATTTTTTTGCATTAAAAAAAATATTATTTGATTTGTAACTAGACGAGTTGAATAGACATGTTAACACTTTATTTTTGCATTTATTAGCATAAATAGTTCTCGTAGGCCTTTTGATTTATAATTAAAAAAATTACATGTTTATTTTTTTGTTTTTTGTGAAAAACATTTATCCAATATGTGGTGAGGCGCCCATAACACAACTAATAAGTAAATTTAAATTGTATGGGAAAACCATTATTCATATGTAAAATAATGATTTTAACCCTTTCAGAACAAATTAAATAGCTAGCTATTTAGGTGATTTAGCTTTTTTATATGAGTTTATTGGTCATTACTATATTTATATTTATAGGAGTTAGATCAGTCTTTTTTATATTTTTTTAAGCAAAGTAGAATGTCTTCTTTGCTCTTAGAAATTAATTTTTTTCCTAGAAAAACTAAAGTCTAGGTCATCCTTATCTTTTAGTTTTTTATGCATATAAGAATTGTTAAATTACTCCTAAAAAATAAAATCTCATT